CCATCAAAGAAGAAAACATCACTCTTGGAAATGAAACACTACATGATTTTTGAATTTAAAGAAAAACAGTCCTTGCCTTTATAATAAGTCTTGAGATCAGGTGATTTTAGTCCTCTGGTTTCCATGGTCTGTTGCGTTTCCGTATGAATTTCCGACCAGTTCATCCATTTCTACAAAAAGCCTGCTGACATTTTAATCAAGATTGTATGGAATGTCTGAACAAGTTTGGGAATAGACATCTTAACTAGATTGAGTCTTCCAATCCACGAACATGAGATATTGCTTAATTTATTTAGGCTTTAAAAACTTTCTCTCAGCACTGCTTTGTATTTTTCAGTGCATAGATCTTGGATGTCTTTTGTCAGATTTACCCTTAAGTATTTCCTATTGCTGATGCTATTGTAAATTATTTTTTTTTAGTTTTAATTTCCAGTTAGTCATTTTTAACATATAAAAATACAATTAATTTCTCTCTCTCTATATCTTGTATCCTGCAACCTTACTATTATTATTTCAGTAGTGTTTTTTTTTTTTTACTTTCAAAGCTGCAATCATGAAGACAGTAAGGCATTAGCACAAAGAGACAGAAGAGCTTGAAGAGACCCATTAATATGTGGACAACAAATTTTTGACAAACAACTGTATCCATAATACACACACACACACACACACACACACACACGTGTATATATAACTCAAAACCCAATAAGAAGTAAGCAAACCAATTAAAAAAAAAACCTTATGATTTGAAAAGACGCTTCACCAAAGAGGATAAACATGGCAATTAAGTATATGAAAAGATGTGCAACATCATTAGTCATTAAGGAAAAGCATCTTAAAACCACAGGGAGATACCACTATACATCTGTTCGGACGGCTAGATTTAAAAAGATGGACTGTACCGCGTGCTGGACAGGATGTAGACGACTGGAGTGCTCCTGCACTGCTGATGGGAGTGTAAAATAGCAGTCACTTTGGAAAACTGTTTGGCAGTCCCTTAAAACGATACACCTATCATGCAAACTTGCCATTTAACTTCCAGGTATTTACCCAAGAGAAATGAAGGCTTGTACAGAGGTGTTGATAGCAGCTTTGTTGGTGATAGCACCAAACTGGAACCAACAAAATGTCCCTCAGTAGGTGACTAGGGAAACACATTGTTATATATCCATACAATGGGATACTACGTAACAGGAGGAAGGAATGCGCTGTTGGTAATAATGTGGATGAATCTCAAAATACTGTGTTGAGCAAAGAAGCCAGACAATAAAGCCCACGTGCTGAGTGATTCCATTTAATGCTCTAGAAAAAGCAAACTAGTCTTCATTGATAGGAAGCAGATAAGTGGTTGCTTGGGGGCAGGACAGGGAGCAGGGGAGGATTGGGAGGGAAGGGCCAGGAGGCGGCTTTTCAGGTTCATTTCTCTTGACTGGGACACACGCCAACGTGGTGCACTGTAAATACACACATTTTATTTTGTCAAGTAAACCTCAGGGAAGCTATTTTTAAAATTCTGTAGGTTTACAAGAGTAAGTTTTTAAAAAATCCCAGAATGTTGAAGAATCCTAGAATCTCAGATGATGAAAAATGTGAAACATAAAAGGAGAGGGGCAACCCAGATGGAGGCTTAGAGGACTACTCTTTATTTGTGGTCTTCTGAACTTTCCTCATGATGTATTTAGTTGAGGTTGCTCTTTCATTTATCTTTCCCACCATTCGTTGAGCCCTTTGAATTAAAGAGATATTCTTCTCTTTAGCTCTTGGAAAAATTCTACCAGTATTATGTCTTCCTCGTCGTCTTCTCTTCCTCCTCCTTTTTCTCCTCCTCCTCCTCCTCCTCCTATCCTCACCTGAGGGCATGCTCAATGATTTTAGAAAGAGAGGAAGGGAGGGAGCGAGAGAGGGAGAGAGACATTGATGTGAGAGAGAAACATCCATCGGCTGCTTCTCGTACATGCCCTGACTGGAGACTGAACCTGCAGCCTAGGCATGTGTCCTGAGGGGGAATCAAACCCATGACTTTTCGGTTTACGGGATGATGCTCTAACCAACTGAGCCACACTGGCCAGGGCTCCCAGTATTTCTTTGATAATGTCCTCAGCCAGGCTCTGGAATTGGCTCTAGTGTCATGAAAAGTAGAGGTGGGAAGTGAAGGACATTGTTAGAAGTCCTTAGATCTCCACGTCTGTCCCAAACAAAAATGCCCCCACCCCACCAGCACCCCCATAAAGGGAGAAAATAGATTTCTCCAGACCTGAGACACCAGTTGCAGAGAAGGCTGTAGTGAGGAGCAAAAAGAGGCAAAGGTTTTATTCTCTCACATGTTCTGGAATGCTAGTGGCTGGATTTGAATTTCGAGAGTTTAGAAAATTAATCTCTGGAGCATTAAAGCACCCCACAGAAAAGAGCTACATAGCTTAACTGTTGGGAATGCCCAGTAAAAAACTCACTTAATTGTGGCCTACAGTAAAGCCACTTGTGCCAAACCGTTCACACAGAGCTTCCAGACAGCCCTTTGGACCTCATTCCCAAATATGAACAACCAAGCATCCTTGGGCATTTGAGGAAAGCCTTCAGCATGAAAGAGAAAATAAAAACAGAGAAAAGATACTCAGTGGAAGTTCAAAGATGAGAAGATTGTGCATCTAAAATTCAGGGAACAAGAAAAAACTCTTGGAAATTAAAATTTTAATAGAGAAATGAAAAACTCATCAGAAAGATTAAGAAACAAGATGGATGATAGCAAAAAAAAGGATAAGTTAGAGGTCAATACAAATATTAGAAATTGCAGAAAGGGAGACCAGAGGAAGTGAAGGGGGAGGACATAATCTGAGGAACAATATAAGTAAGTTTTCTAGGCTGAAAGATAAGAGTGTCTGAATTCAAAGGGCAGGTGGAGAGCTCAGTTTATGAAATTTAAAGACCCAATTCAAAGCACATCCTCAAGGCTTTCAGAGAAATATGAAGATTATGAATAAAAAGTAATGAATATGTACTATTATAGTATTTATCAAAAGCCAGATTAGAAGCTAAAAAACAATGGAGACTTCAACATTCTAAATGAAAATTATTTGAAACCTATTGTTCTATACCCAGCCAAACTATCAACAGATGTGATCCAAGAGAGACAAAGACAGAATCCAGGAAACAGAGGTGGTAACATTAGAGGGAGATAAGGGGATCCCCAGGGTCATGGGAAGGAGGTTCCAGACAACAGTTGTGGGAATGCACAGAGGTCCATGGGAGGGAGGCTCCCAGGACGAAAATGAAACCGAAAGGTTATTTGATAGACTTTATATGTGAAAGATTAGAACACTATTACAGAGCACTTAGATTGTATGGAGAGATTTGGGTATATGTTAAAAAGGAACCCAAGTAAAAGAATGTTTGCAGCAGGAAAAATGAAATATCGTTGTACTGGGAAGGAAACAATAATGAACAATATTTTCAAAAACGAATAATAATAACATAAAGTATGGATATAATTTTTAAAAAACTTTAGCCTGATAACTATTGGGAGTTTGGGTGAGAGAAAGCGAAGGAAGGACATTAAAATCCACATTATCATAATAGTAAGTCTGTTGATTATGTTTTTAGTAGATGAATCAAGGGATAGTAGTATTGGCATATTATTTAGAAATATGGTGACAAATTCCAGAACAGTTTGGAAGTGTTTTAAGTAGTTACCTCTGGGTGTGTTTCTTTTCTTTTTTAAATTTTATTTTTTTTGTATATAATTGATATATAATATTGTGTAAGGTGTGTAGCATATTGATTTGATACATTTGTATACTGCAATATGATTACCATGGTACAGTTAAGTATGGAGAGTGTTTCTTTTTTCTTTTTATTAAATGATTGATTTTTAGAGAGAGAGGAAAGGAGGTTGGAGAGAGAGTGAGAGAAACATCGATTTGTTGTTCCATTTACTGATGCATTCAATGGTTGATTCTTGTATTTGTCCTGACCGGGGATCGAACCCAAAACCTTGGTGTATCGGGATGATGCTCAAGTCATCTGAGCTACCTGGCCATGGCTGGAGTGTGTTCCTGTGTGCGATATTCGATAAAGTCACAAATACAACCAATTCGGGAACTAAGATAAAAGTATTCAAATGTGGCAGGAGTGTAGAGAACGTTTCATAGATAATGTTTAAATGTGACAAACCAAGAAACACCAGCTTAAAAACACATTATCTCAGTTACGAGGTTAACACCAGAAGAACTGCATCTGGAAACTGTTAAAAATGGCCACATCTGTGGAATTTGGGGTGTGGGCTCTTGCTTTTATTGCAAATGCCTTTGCACTGGATATGAGGCAGTTAAGCCTGTAAACCTTTACATTTTGTGACTCGCAGCCCCCGTCCAGGGCTGAAGGCAGGCAGGTAGGGCGTGTGAGGAAGGTCTGCCAGTCAGGGCGTGCAGCCGCCGCCCCTGCCCCACCCACCGTCAGCCCCCCCCCCCCCCCGGTCCTGGATGCCCCTTGACAGGGAGGAGCCGGGGAAGCCGCCGTCCTGTGTGTGGGAAGTTTCGTCGCTCTTCCCGCTCTTGGGTCTGAGCACGGGTGTGGACCCCAGCAGAGACGGGACCTCCTCGCCTCACCTCGCAGTCCTGTACTTGGACGCTCGGCTGAAAGTGGGTGGCTGGTTCCGCCGTGGAACGGCAGAGCCGCCCAGGTTTACTGCCTTTTTATTTTCACTGGTTAAACATTGGCGAAGCAGGGCCACTGGGTGGGGGTTCAGTCTTCATGCTGCCCACAGCCTTCTAGAAGGTTCAGGGGGCCAGTGGGCCTGAGGTTGTGGTGGCCAGAGGGAGGGCCTTTCGAAACTTGCGCCCAGCCACCTGGTGGCCAGTTGGCTCTGGGCTGGGCCCGCCTTGCCCCTGCCTGGGCATCTACCTGCGTCAAAGATGATACGTGTACGTGGATGGCCTCGCTGGCCGGGTCTAGAGGGGCCGGTGAGGTGAGAGTTTCTGAGCTGCAGCGCCTTTCTCTCTGTGCAGAACATGAACGGCTTCGAGGAAGGCCTGGAGTTCTTGCCGGTCAACAACACCAAGAAGGTTGAGAAACGGGGCCCCAGGCTCTGGGTGGTGCTGGTGGCCGTGCTCATCGGCATCCTCTTGTTCTCTCTCATGGCCGGTTTACTGGTGTGGCACTTCCAGTGTGAGTAAAGGCGGGGGCTCTGGGGGGGCGGTCGTGGGGGCGGCTCTACCTCCGCCCTCAAGGGTCAGACCCAGGGCCCGCCTCTTATGGACACGCGGGAGAGAAGGGAGGACGCGGTGGCTGTGGGTGAGGAGGGGTCTAGGACCCTGTGTCCCCTGGCTCTTTGCAGCCATAGCAGTGGGCAGGGGGTGGGGGTGGTGAGGAATTGGTCAGAGCTGGCCCATCGGGCTCCTCCGCCCCCTGGCCCCTCCTGGCACTCAGTCCTGTGTGTGTCAGAAGTTCTGCTGCTTGTCCTGCTCTGGGGTCTGGGCATGGGTGTGGATGCCAGTAGAGGCCTGGCCCACCGCCTCCTCATCCTTCATCGTAACAGCTCCCCCAGGGTCGCTGAGGGCAGCCTGTGGACATTGGGGGTCAGGAGGGGGGTGACGTCACTTCCTCTGACTGTTCTCCTTCCCCGGTCGGGCACAGACCGGAACATGCGGGTCCAGAAGACCTTTAATGGCTACCTGAGGATCACAAATGAGAACTTTCTGGATGCCTATGAGAACCCAAACTCCACTGAGTTTGCAGAGCTGGCCAGCAAAGTGAAGGAGGCGGTGAGTCCAGCTCCTGGGCTTGAGTCCTGTCCTGCTGTCTGCTCCCCGGGTGGGTGTGGGGTGTGGGAAGGGCACCCCGGTCCCGGGGCGGAGGGAGAAGCACAGGCCGGGGCCCGGGGCCATCGCTGCTTCCTGGCCTGAGCTGAGCCTGCTCTCCTTCTTCCCTCAGCTGAGGCTGTTGTACAGCGAGATCCCAGTCCTAGGTCCCTACCACAAGGAGTCCGCAGTGACTGCCTTCAGGTGGGTGCCGGGGAGAAGGCGGGGTGGTGGCCATGCTGGGGGTGGGATCTGAGAGCTGTCACATGTGGGACAAGGCCCTTGCGGCCCACAGGGAGAACCAGGTGCCCGTCCTGACCTGTCCGTGGTGTGACTTGGCCCACGCGGCTCTTCTGTCCAGGCAGGGCGCGTGCTCTGTGCCTCGCCTGCCACTTGCTGCTGTAAGCCACTCGGGAATGGTGGTGCTTCCTTGTCATTTTTCCAAATTTGGGTCTGGGTCTGCACCCGGCCTCTCGGAGAGTGGGGACAAGCCAGTGCCTGAGCCCGCCCGCCTCTCAGACGTGGCCCTGTCTCCCCAGCGAGGGCAGTGTCATCGCCTACTACTGGTCGGAGTTCAGCATCCCCAGCCACCTGGTGGAGGAGGCCGAGCGCGCCATGGCCCAGGAGCGCGCCATCAAGCTGCCACCCCGCACACGCACGCTGCACTCCTTCGTGCTGACCTCGGTGGTGGCCTTCCGTGAGCACCGGGCCAGCCGGGGGCGGGCGGGGGGACTGCCGCGAACGTGCCGCAGGAAGGGACTGCATGCTGGCGGGCCCATCCCATAGGGGAATAAGGAAGCAGGAACGAGGAAATGGACTAGGTCGCTAAACACTTTCTTCTCCCTCTTGTTTTTCAGCCACTGACCCCAGAACAGTACAGAGCAACCAGGACAGTAAGTATCATGCCCTCCTCCTAGAGGAGGGTCAGGGTGTGGCCAGATGCCCCTCCTGAGGTGTCCCTAAAAGTCACATGTTGGTGATAGCCAGCACATCCCTTCGCCTGTCCCAGGCCATGTGAAGCCCCCTCCCTGGCCTCTCCCGGGTGCAGGGCCACCTGGGGCGCTTGGAGAGGCCAGCCCTGGGGCCCCCCGCCCCCCGCAGGGCTCTGGGCTGCTCACCCTGAGGGCTGTGCCCAGCTCCACCCCACGCCCTCTTTGTCCCACGCAGACAGATGCAGATTCGCCCTGCACGCCCGAGGCGGGGAGCTGACTCGCTTCGCCACACCTGGCTTTCCTGACAGCCCCTACCCTGCTTTCGCCCGCTGCCAGTGGACCCTGCGGGGGGATGCCGACTCCGTGCTGAGCCTCACCTTCCGAAGCTTTGATGTCGCGCCCTGTGACGACCGTGGCAATGACCGGGTCATGGTGTACGACACGCTCAGCCCCGTGGAACCCCGCACCGTGGTGCAGTGAGTGTCGGGGGCAGCGCAGGGGGCTGTGGGAAGCGGCCGCCGCCTCTGTGGGCCGGGCCTCTGGAACGGGCGGCCGTGTGCGTGGGAGGCATAGCGTGTGATGTTGGGCACAGGCCACTGCGGACTTGCGGGGGAGGCGCCATGCTCAGTAGGGGCCTCAGCAGAGCCCCTCGGAGGTGATCTGTCGGCCCCGGCAGCGATGAGGAAGGCTCAGTGGTCCCTGGACGCTGACAGGCACGGCCTTCTGCTTCACCTGCAAAGGTGCGGCCGGCTGCTGTCAAACGCAGCTCGTTAGGCCAACAGTTGAGGAGACAGCTGCCGCTGGAGAAGAGAGCCTGTTACTCATGGTTCACAAGAGGGGGCCCCCCGAGTGACGCAGGGCAGCGCCAGGGCCAGCCCGAGGCTGAGGACGCCGGCGGAAAACGGGCAGTGCTGTGTTGTTGGGGTTTCTGCAGGGAAGTCAGGCACGGCGGGGCGTGTGGCTGAATGGGCCCTGGGGCCAAAGGCTGACTCTCAGGAGCCGGCGCCTGGTTGTGGGGTGAATCGGGCACGTGGGAGGTGGCCTGGGGTGAAAGAGCCCCAGGAACGGGGTGGTTGGGTTGCCTGTGAAAGGCTAGGCCTCAGGGGAGTCTACACCACCTCTAGGACTTATCCAGCCCTAGGAGGGCGGTCTTTCCAGTGAACGCAGCCTGGATGTGAAAGCGTCCGGGTTCCAGGGAATAGGAAGGTGTGAGGTCCCTGCCAAGGAGGCTGGGGTGCAGAGACCAGCGCCACCCCGGCCAGATGCCTGCCCGAGGGGGCTGCCGTCAGAGGCAGGGCGGGTGGCGCCCTGCCCACTCCCCGGTCTGCCCGGCTCGGTGGAAGTGAGCTGGGCAGACGGTCGTGATCACAGCGGGCTGACGTTGGAGCCAAACCACGAGAGCCATTTGCTGCCACAGCTGAGCGGTCAGGACATCTGTCTGCTCACCGTTCCTGTGCAGGGCCTCTTTCTCTCTCACTCACTAATTGTACAGCAGAGGAATGTGTCTCCCCAAAGGAAAGAGCGGAAAAACACGCACAGAGAGGGCAAGCGCCACTCAATCTTCCTTTCTAGAAGCATCCACTCTTAGTTTCGTGATGCGTATTCTTCCCGACTTTTCTGCTGTGTGCGTGTGTTTGTGATTATACTTAAATGTAGGATTATACAGCACCTTTGGTTTTGTCGTCAGCTTTTTAAAAATGAATTATACAGGATGGAGCAAAAGTAGCTTTACAGTTGCTCGTATGGACAATAACACAATAATTAATAAATAATAAGACAGGAATAAACTGTGTTTCCCACACAACGTTGAACCTACTTTTGCCCCATCCTGTATTATGATGGTCTTTCCAAATCAGTAATTCTGCCTCCGGTCACTTTTCAGTGGTTGTGTGACGTGATATAGTTCAGAGGCAGTAGGACACAGTCACTGGCTGTGTGGGCTCCGGAGCCTGAGGCCAGGGTTCGAACTCTTGCCCTGGCACTTACTGAGTGTGGAATCATGGGCACGTTATTTTATCTCTCCATGCCTCAGCGCCCTTATCTGTACAATGGGGCTAATCGTCTCTATTTCATAGAGTTGTCAGGAAGCTACCTGAGTTAACAGATATAAAAGCACAAAGAACAGGGCTTGGAATGTTCTTAATAGTGAGTGTTAGTTGTTCATGCTGTTACTACTACTATTATTGTTATTACCTAGCCTGTAGTTTAATGAATCCTCTAATGTTAGGCTGTCAATGTTTCTGAGGTTTTGCTACTTACTTACTTACTTAATTAATTTATTTATTTTAGAGATTTTATTTCTTTGTTTTTAAAGAGGGGAAGGGAGGGAGAAAGAGAGGGACAGGAACATCAATGTGTGGTTGGCTCTCGTGCGCCCCCTACTGGGGACCTGGCCCACAACCCAGGCATGTGCTCTGAATCAAACCGGCGACCATTTGGTTCACAGGCTAACACTTAATCCGCTGAGCTGCACCAGCCAGGGCATGAGGTTTTGCTCCTTTAAACAGAGAATGTGTTCTAACTAAATCCTTTCTTAGGTAGCTGATGGTTTTATGGGGGCGGGGCTTTCTGACCCTACCCTTGGCCCTTTGAGACTGGAACCAGGGCTGGGGAAGGGGTTCTTGGCCCCCTGTTTCAGTTCTGTTTGCTCTTGCTCATGCCCGTTCCTTTTGCCCCCACAGGCTATGTGGCACCTACCCCCCCTCCTACAACCTGACCTTCCTCTCCTCCCAGAATGTCCTGCTCGTCACGCTGATAATCAACACCGAGCGGCGACACCCTGGCTTTGAAGCCATGTTCTTCCAGCTGCCTAAGATGAGGAGTAAGGAGGGCCAGGGCCGGGGCAGAGAAGGGGACAGTAGTTAGTGGTTGGCCTGAGGCCAAACCCTGTGGCTGGTGAATGGCCCAGGTCCGTGACAGAGGTCTGAAGCTGAAGTCACAGGGCCGCTTGCCCTTCACCCCGCCTAAAGCAGTCAGCTGACCAGCACTTGGAGTTCCCAGCACCTGGCTGTGGAGCCTGGGTGCCCCACCCGTCTGCCTGGCCCAGCGACCTCAGTCATGCCCCGTCTCCTCTTTCCTCTCAGGCTGTGGAGGCTACTTACGTGGAGCCCAAGGGACGTTCAGCAGCCCCTACTATCCGGGTCACTACCCTCCCAACATCAACTGCACTTGGGACATCGAGGTAGGAGCTGTAGGGGAGGGCGCGGGAGGGGACAGGGAGATGGGTGGGAGAGAGAGGGGAGGGGCGGCAGAGGAGATGAGCTCCTCGGCAAGCCGGAAGAGGCTGCGGATCGGCACCCCGCGGTGGGCAGGGTCGCGCCGGGCTGACCGGCTGCAAGGTCAAGCAGGCACGAACTCGAGTCCTCACGCCCCCGCGGCGGACGGCGGGCCCGCGGGCAGAGCCTCAGCGGGCTCCCGCAACGCGAGGGTGCCGGTGGCTGCTTCCCGGACGTGCGGTGGGGATGAGGTCGCAGCGTCCGTGGGCAGCGGAGAAAGCACTTGCTGAATGAGCCCTGCCGACAGGACGGCTCCCCTCGCCGTCCCAGCCAGAGATCCGTCTCTTTTTCCGTCTTCGATAAGGTCAAGAGAGCTTCACAGCCTTCTTTAGCCACATGCCAGTGTCCCTTGCCTCTGAGTCTGGAAGTTCTTCCAAACACGGCCCGGGCCCCCTCCTGCTCTGTGTGGCACGGTGCCCACGTGGGTCGGAGCAACAGCAGCCATGCTCCACGGCCTGCTCCCCCGGCCCCACAGCCACCTCTGGGGTCCCCGGGTTTGGGAAAAGGGAAGGCGGCAGCAGAGACCAGCAGCTTCTCTCTCTGCAGGTGCCCAGCCACCGAAACGTCAAGGTGCTCTTCAAAGTCTTCTACCTGCTGGAGCCCAACGTGCCCCTGGGCTCGTGCCCCAAGGACTACGTGGAGGTCAACGGAGAGAAGTGAGTGCCTGGGAGGGGGTTCGGCGGGAGAGTGGGGGAGCTGGCCCGCCGCTGGTGCCCATGAGGGGCCCACGCCCGAGGGTGGGTCCTCTTCCTAATGGCGGCCTCCTCCCCCAGGTTTTGCGGCGAGAGGTCCCAGTTCGTGGTGGCCAGCAGGAGCAGCAGGATCACCGTGCACTTGCATTCGGATCAGTCCTACACCGACACGGGCTTCCTGGCTGAGTACCTGTCCTATGACTCCAGTGACCGTGAGTGACTTCTTTAGGAGGAGGACCCTGGCTCGAGGGAGGGACCTGAGATGCGCTCTCTGTGCTGCATCCCCTTAGCCTTGTGCTTTCCTGCCTCTGAGACACCAGAGAGTGTAATTAGATGAGCAAACCCCTTTGCGAGGTGACTAGCTGCCTCTGCAGAGAAAGTGACAGTGGCCTCCTTTCAACTCTGTCATCCGCCTGATGACACCAGTTGTCAGATTCCCTCCAACTTCAGGACGTGGAAATGTGGAAAATACCTTCATTAAGGAAGTGTGGTGGGGCCGTTTGACACATAAAGCATCCAGCCGGGGCGCTGCCTTTTCTGTGTTGCCAGTGGGAAGCCTGGCGCTCAGGGGACAAGGCCGGCCAGGGACGCGGGGCAGCAGAGCTGAGTGCACGCCCAGCCAGCCCCTCTCTCCTTTGCCCGGAGCTTCCCGGGGTCTGGTCTCTGGCAGTCCGGAGGGACCCTGGGCCAGCCTTCCTGCGGCGGCTCTGCGAACCCTGTCGCCAAGGCTCAGCCGGCCTGGGGGCCCTCCCTGGGGGCCCGCTGCAGCCCTGCTCTGCTCTGCGCGGGGCTGTCCTGGCGAGTTCCCTCTTTAGTCCTCGGGTGGCCGTGAGGCGTCTGGGGGGGGAGCGGAGACGAGGCAGGGAGCCAGCTGTGGGCGGCGGGGGCGGGGCCGCGGACTCCAGGCCTGTCCTCTCCCCTGCAGCCTGCCCGGGGAGGTTCATGTGTAACACGGGGCGCTGCATTCGGAACGAGCTGCGCTGCGATGGCTGGGCCGACTGCGCCGACTACAGCGATGAGCTCGACTGCCGTGAGTGGGGCTTAGGCCTGGCCGTCCCCTCTTGCCCTGGCTGTGCCCTGGCGCCTGCCAGCTGACCCGAAGCGGCGGGAGGGTGTGCCCACCCCCCAGTGCAGACATCTAGCCCCTTCCTTCACGCTGCTGTTTGGAGCCTCGTCTCCTGTGGCGCGGGCAGCGGAGCGTTCCGCGGTGCTGAGCTCAGCTTCCGTAGCCAGCCAGTGACTCAGGGCGCCCGGGCCGGCTCGCCAGCCGGATGGGACCGTGTCCCCAGGCAGCTTCCCAGGGAAGCAGCGAGTGGTGAGGGAGGCTGGGGACTCGATCTGCGCTGGGCCCGCCGGCTGACTGCTGCCCTGTCCCCCTCCAGGATGCAATGCCACCTACCAGTTCACCTGCAAGAACAAGTTCTGCAAGCCCCGCTTCTGGGTCTGTGACAACGTAAATGACTGCGGGGACAACAGCGATGAGCTGGAGTGCAGTGAGTGCCCACGGGGGGCTGCCGGGCTCCCGCAGCCCGCCCTCCGCGGGGCGCGTCGAGCCCCTGCTGAGCGCTGTGTGCTTCCCAGGTTGTCCGGATGAGACCGTCAAGTGTGGCAATGGGAAGTGCATCCCGAAGAGCCAGCAGTGTGACGGGAAGGACAACTGTGGGGACGGGTCGGATGAGGCCACGTGCGACAGCGGTAAGGCCCGGCCCCGCCCTCCGTCCTTCGGGGGGCCTTCCTCGCCCACCGAGGGAGCAGCCATGAGCACACTCACCTGCAGCGTGTCCAGAGTTTAATAAGCACAAACCACCTTGTGGGATGTGTGGCGAGAAAGGGCGTCCGTAAGGGGAGAACCTTCCAGAAGGTGGAGAACCGGTGGCGGGGCTGGACGGCCTGTGGGCGGGGCGGGGCTGGGCGAGGCAGGCCCGAGCGAGCGGCGTGGCGCAGGGGACTTGGGCGTCCCCGGGAGCCTCCGAGGGACTGATTTTCTCCCCGTCCTCCCCCTTGCGCAGTGAGCGTCGTCGCCTGCACCAAGCACACCTACCGCTGCCACAGCGGGCACTGCGTGAGCAAGGGCAACCCCGAGTGTGACGGGGTGGAGGACTGCAAGGACGGCTCTGACGAGAAGAACTGCGGTGAGCGGGCCGTGCAGGGGGCTCCCTGGGCCGGCGCCCACGGAGGCGGGGTCACGCCAGCGCCTCCCGCCCCGACTTCCGCCCTCGTCGTGCGAGGGGCGGTGGCCTGGAGGAGAGGGCGACCTTCCCGGGTGCTGCTTGGCACTCAGGCACTGCACCGCGGCCTGGAGGCAAGGCCTCTCGCGGGCTGTTGTCCTGGCGACAGTGCTGGGCTGGGCCCTGCCTTTAGACCCGGCCCGGGAGGGTGGCAGCTCTGGCTTTCCGGCGCTGGCGGGGGCGGAAGTGGGGGGGGAAGGGCGCAGCTTCCCCGAGCCCCAGCAGGGTCTGGCCCGCACCCCACCCCACCCCACCCTTTGATTTGCAGCCTCCTGTGTAGTTCAAAGGCACTGGCCCCAGGGTCAGTTTGAGCACAGCTGCGGCTGTTCTGTGACTTCATGTCACGCACCCGCTCTTTTCTCTGAGAGCCGTGTCTCTCTGCACGGAAATCTAGGCAAATGACACCCATAGTAAAATTAAGCAAACCAGCAGGTGCCTGGAGGGCCCCCCTCATGCATCGGTGCAGGAGGAGGGGTGGGCGGAGTGCGAAGGTTTTGAACTTGGGAGCAGGGGAGAGGGGCCCTGTGGGAGTCGGTGGGTCTGCGGCTCAGAGTCCCTTACTTGTAGGGTTCCCTCTTGGCACCACTGTCCCTGCAGCGCTGTGCCCGCTGCGAGGCGACCGCCCCAGCCAGGCTCTCCTGGGGCCTGGCGCGGGGCCTGGCGCTGCCCGCACCTCAGCTCACTGCCGTTCCTTCGGGTTCTCTGCCCTCGCAGACTGCGGGCTGCGGCCGTTCAGCAGGCAGTCCCGGGTGGTTGGAGGCAAGGACGCGGAGGAAGGCGAGTGGCCCTGGCAGGTGAGCCTCCATGCGCTGGGCCAGGGCCACCTGTGCGGGGCCTCCCTCATCTCGCCCACCTGGATGGTGTCCGCCGCTCACTGCTTCGTCGACGACAGAGGATTCAAGTGAGCCACTGGGCTGGAAGCGGGGGGTGCTCCTCTGTGTGCTGGGGTTGGAAAGGCCCTGAGTCGTGCCAGGGTCGGGTGGCACTGGGGCAAGGCCGGGCTGGAGGGGCTGCAGACTCCCCACGATGGGGCTACTAACTCTCAGTGAAGCACCATCTAAGCGTCTTTCCTAACAACTCGGTTCGGCGGGTCTGGCTATGTCCACATTTCACAGAAATGTAGGTTCACGGAGGTGAGGACATTTGCTCAAGGTTGCACAGTTACTGAGTGGCAGAGCTGCACTGGGACCCAGCGAGTGCATTCCGCAGTCTGCGTGGCCAGCCCCTGCACAGAAGGGGCCCCTGGCGATTTGCTCAGACCGGCCTCTCAGTAACAGCGCGGCTCTGGCGCGCCAGGTGACCTTGGGCAAGTTAGTCACACTTCCTAGGCCTCCGGGTTTTCAGTGGCAATGGGGGCAGCGTGAGTTTTTATCCTTAGAGTTGTAAGAATTAAATATGACAACACAGCTGAAACACTGAGCACTGTGCCTGCACATAGTAGGCGCTCAGCACACCGTAGCCCCAGGTCCAGGGCAGACTCCAGCCCGGCACAGGGACGGTCGCCGAGGGAGGGTTGTGCGGGGTCTCAGGGCAGGGTGGGTGGGGACCCAGGGCTGGGCTCTTCGTGTCTCAGCTCCAGCCCACTGAGGCCCCCGGGCAGTGGCTCGGGAGGGAGTCAGAGGGGACAGTCTGCTCCTGGAGGCGGGGCCCAGGGGAGCAGACATTCCAGGGGATTCCCACCCCCAGGCGGCCCAGGAGAGAGCAGCCGTGGGCTTTCTGGAGAGACGGGCCTGTGGCAGCGCCTAGGCTCAGGCACGGAGCTGGGGCCTGGTCAAACAGCCGCGGGCACGGGCGAGGGAGCCGCCGGTCCAGGCCAAGGTCTGGAGGGCACGGGGTCAGAGCTGGTGTCTCACTGGCCGTAACCCGACTGTCCTGTCTCTTCCCATATTGTCAGCTTCACTCCAACTCAACCCTGGGAAGATATGATTGCCCTTCTTTTTGGGCTGATGGGAGGAGCTTTCTTAAGAAAGTTTTAAAATACACTTTATTTTGGAATATAGGGAAGCTGCAGAGGTCGTGCGGAATTGCTGGGCAGCCCTCGCCCATGTCCCGTGGCTGCTAAGGTGGGGTGCCCGTCAACACGGGACGCTCCCGCGGGTCCGTCGCCGCTCCCCCAGGGCCAGGCTCCCCCGGCCGAGCGCTGGTGTCACCCTGCTCACCTCCCTGCTCTGAGAGGCGGTCCTGGCCGACACGTCACAGGCCATGTCCAGGCTCCCCAGTCTCCTCTGGTCTGTGACAGCCTCTCAGTCTGTCTGTCTGTCTGTTATTCGTGCCCTTGGCAGTCTGGAGGTCAGGCATCCTGCAGAATGCACCCCCGTCTGGTTGGACTGCGATTGTTCTTGTGATGAGACTGGGGTTATGAGGTTTGGAGAATATCAACATCGTATCAGCGGGTAAATGATGTAAACACGATGTCGCTGGTCCTGTCAATCTTGGTCATTTGGTTAAGATAGTGTTTGCCGGCTTGCTCCGTTGGGAAGTAACTACCCCCCCCCCCGCCCCGCTTTCTACATGCTATTCATTTCTCCGTGGACTCGTGTGTATGTTTCAGGCTGTAACCCAATGCCCTGTTACCGACTTTGTTGCTCACGCTGTTTCAGATTTGACTATTGGGAGCTCGCTGAGTGTGACTCCTGTATCCCTTTGCTATGGCCCTGTTCTTTTGTCTTTTTTGAGCCACTTTTTTGCATTCTGGCCCTGCCGGCTGCTTGGGGCTCTGTTGTATGTGCCCGGGCCCAGCCCCGGAAGGAGCCATTTCCCCAGGGAGCCCTGTAGCGGGGAATGGTAATTAGAAACCAGGCTCTGGGCACCCGGTGCCCTCATTGTCACTGCAGTCCCATGGCTCCAGGCCCTGCTGCAGGGCAAGCTAGGACATACCTGGCCCCCTTCCCTCGCGTCCTCACCTCGTTCCTCATTTCCTTTTCCTTCCCCTTCTGTTGCTTGTCCGTCTTACTTCTGCCAGGTAATACATTCAGCAACCATTGCTGTTAGACTGCGGAGACCAGACGTCCCAGAGTAGGAGAAAGAGCTCTGTTACATGTGCACGGGTACGTGTATAAACATGCATGTGAATACATGTTCACACGTGCACACAGTAGGTGCCAGGCTAGAACTGAGGACGGGTTTGCTGGGGCGCACATATGGAGTGTGTTCTGCCTGAACCCTGCGGAGGGCAGCTGGTCGGAGAGCCTTTATGAGCAGGGGCGTGTGATTTAAGTGCCAGCGTGAGGGTGTTGTCACAGGACAAGGTGACTCAGACCGTCCAGACAAAGGGAGAGCTGTGAGCAGAGGCAGGCAGGTGTGAAGCGTGCAAGACTTGGATGGGGTGCAGTTACTTTGGCCACATTTCTGGGTCAACAAGTGCTTGAGGGTTGTCACTGAGAGGCAGCATCAGGTTGTGGTTAAGAGCACAGGTTACCTGGGTTTGGACCATGGGGCATGACTTGTTAGCTGTGTGATCTTGGGCACGTTACTTAACCTCTTTGTGCCTGAGTCCTCACCTCAAAGGGGCGGCCCTGCCTTGAAAAGCTGTCGGGAGATGACATGGCATCAGGTGTCAGCACTGAGAAGGGCTCTTGGCGAGCGGTCAGCTCTGACCGACAACTATGTCCGGTTGTCAGTCACTGCCTTGGCTGTCACTGGCGAGCTAGGTGGCCACCCCGTCCACACTGGTCTCTCAGGTACTGGTAGGGGCGCCTACCTTAACCAGCTAGAGACAGGTCTGCCTGTGGAACCACGGACTGCCCGAGGCTGAGGAAAGACGGAGACAGCAGGTTTCACAGGGAAGACTTTACGAGGGGTGGGAGCCTTGGGGCACAGGGCTCAGCTGACCAAGGGCCGGCCCTGCCTGACAGGCAATGGGATCACAGGGAGACACAGCCAGAGGCGACAGGATGACTCTGCTCCCTCCCGCACCCTTTCATCCACCTGGTCCTTGCCTCCTAGGTACCCCAGAAGCATCTCTCCTCTCTCCCACTCCCTCTGCTGCCGCCTTGGCTCCCCCTGGCCGGGGTGGCCTCAGCATGCCCTCCCTGACCCTGTCGCCTCCTTCTCAGCACTCCAGTGCGCCCTTGCCAATGCCGGAGTGGTCTTTCCAAAGAGCCGCCCAATCCTGTCGTCCCCTGCATACGTGCCTGCCATGGCTCGCAGGGCCGTGTAGAAATGCCTTCATGTGACCAACGTGGCCACGTCGCCTGGGCCCTCCCACGGCCCTCCCACCTCCTCAACCCCAGTCTCCTATCCTGGCCTCACGCGTGCTGGATGTTGATTTTTGGGGGGGCTTCCTAAGCATTCTGTTTGCTCTCTTTGAATGTGCTGCTTTCTTCCCGCCTGTAGGATTTGACCAAATCCTATCAGATCTCCAAGGCCTAGCTCCTGACCTGCTCCGTCTCCTGACACGCCTCCCGCGCCATGCTCTTCCGTAGCATCTGCCCGTTCCTCTGAAGGACACGTGTCACACTGCGCTGTCGAGGGGCTCTCCCTGGTCTCTCTCCAGTCCCTATTTGGTGACTGACTCTAAAGTCTTCCCCTCAAATTCCTTTAGCTGTTGGACACAGCTCCTTAACCAGGCTTGATCTCATAGGTGCTACTAAGTTGCTTCCACATGTGCATGTATATTTTTCTGAACTGTTTTCATCGTAGGTGTAGCCATTACTGACATTTCTTCCCTAAGTATGTCGCTTGCATCTCCTAAGAACAAGGAAATTCTCCCACATTAACCACAATACAGTTATCACATCCAGAAATAGTGTTAGCTAGTGTGCTGTCCACATTTCAGATGTCCTCCGATTATCTCAATATGGTCCCCTTAAATCTAGGATCCAGTTGACGGTTATGCTTTGTATTTAGTGATTTTTTTTTTTTTTAGTCTCTTTTAAATCTGAAACAGTGTCTCTAAGCCTGTAATTTTTGGTCTATTATGGCATTACGTTTTTGAAAAGTCCAGCCCAGGTGTTTTACAGAAAGCCTCTTGTTTTGGATATTTCTGGTGGTTTTTTCTTGATTAGAGCTAGGTTACACATTTGTCATAGGAAACATCACCTAGGTGATAGTGTGTCCTCAGGAAGTGCCTGGTCAGAAAGAGAAATGTCTGATTAGTTAGTTGTGGTCGTGTCCTGGGGTTTCCCCTTTGTGACGGTACTTCCCCTTTTGGTTATGAACAAGCAGTCTCGGATGATACTTTGAATCAGTTGAATATCTTGCTCCAACAAGCCTTCTACCCAGTGGTTTTAGCTTTCCTCAGTGATACTTGCACATATTGGTTATTGCTATGGCAGGTGCAAAATGTGATGTATCATTGCATCGTTTCTTCTGTATTTATTAGCTGGTGTTTTTCTGTAAGGAAGAGCTTTCCTTCTCCCCTTAGACATATTTCGAAACTATTTTTTAGACTCAGGATGGACTCTTGGATTTCCATCCCCCTCTTCTGTTGTTATTCAGCGTGCATAGTAAATAATACTATCGGTTATTTTAATGTTCGGAGGACCCCGATTTGGGCCAGCGCCTTGTCCTGCCGGCTCCATCGTTGTCTGAGCACCGCTCGCTTCCGGTGACACAGATGGCCTAGGCCGGCTCTTTGTTTCCTTGCTCCACACCTGAAAATGTCCATTTCTCCAAGGAGCCTTGGCTCCTTTTTAATAGAGAAGGATATTTAGACAAGCTCTGGGTGTGTTAGGAATGCCACTGCTTTAGGACTTTGTTTTGGAAAAATCGTAAGCTTTTACTGCTGCCTCCACCGGTCAGTAGCGCGGGCTCTTGCCTGGCCCCTCCTCCTTACTGGGAGCCCCCTTTTCCCACGTCAGAAATGGGCTCCCAGCGCCACTCTCTTGTTCTTGTGTGTTCAGTCCTCTAGCAAACACTAGATGAGGCAGTTTCGGAATTGCTACATCGATACTGCTACTGGCAACAAACCCCATAGATCAAGTTCAATGTCTTTTTCAATTCCTTTTTCTACTTAGTGTGTTAGAAAAGTATTTGGATTGTGCCTTCCGTGGAAGATCAGATTAAGATATAAAAGGTGTTTTTGGTAATCAGTTAAAATGAATTGACAGAGGGAAACAAAGAGGAAATGGGGGTGAGCGAGGAGGCCGGAGTCACCGGCTGTGTCCAGCTGGGGGTGGAGGCCCGCGGCAGCCACGCTGCCCCTGGTGGCGTGTGGCAGGCGCTCTGTGCTGGCCCCGCAGGTACTCGGACCCCAGCATGTGGACGGCCTTCTTGGGACTGCACGACCAGAGCAAGCGCAGCGCCCAGGGGGTGCAGGAGCGCGGGCTGAAGCGCATCATCAGCCACCCGTCCTTCAACGACTTCACCTACGACTACGACATCGCGGTGCTGGAGCTGGAGCGGCCGGTTGAGTACAGCAGCACCGTGAGGCCCATCTGCCTGCCTGACGCCACGCACGTCTTCCCCGTCGGCAAGGCCATCTGGGTCACTGGCTGGGGCCACACCTACGAGGGAGGTGAGCTGGCCGCGCTGCACCGTGTCGCCCTGGCAGATGTGGCTTCCAGGGGAAGCGGCGGGGGGGGGGGGGGGGGGGCGGATTTCGAGGCCGGACCTTGGGTAGAAGGAGTGGCTCTGGCGCATTGCTTAAACTCGAAGCCTGTGCCTTCACCTGTCAGATGAAGACAAAAGCGCCTTCCCAGATGGAACTCAGTGAATATGGGAACACTGTTGTGGACACACCGGTTTAGAGGCCTGTGAGCTGTGCCTGCCCCGACTGGCGGTGGGAACTGGCCTCCTCGCCCCTGTCTCCGTCTGAAAGCCCTTAGTTGGAGCCTGTCGTGTTGGGAAGCTCAGCTCTAATAAAGTTGGGTGCACTGCTGAGAGTTTGTAGACTACGGAGAGGAAAAAGAAAAAGCACCTGGCCTCGGCGCCAGGGCATTTGATGAAACCACGGTGGGCGTTCCGCGGGGGCTGGCTCATGCTCCCACGCGGCTCCCACGGTGGTGCTCCATCTCGCTCGGCCGCAGCCTCCTTCCGGGGGGTGCGCTGTCCGTTACCAGGCCGTTCTCAGCCTCGGGCTTTGGGTGTGTCCCCAGTTTTGCTAGTCCACTTATTGCTGGGGGGGCACTTGGGGGTGCTGTTCCGCGTGGCCTGGCCGCCCGGGAGCCGGCTTGCCCGGGTCAGCCTGTCCTGCCCTCCCCCCAGGCACCGTCGTGCTGATCCTACAGAAGGGCGAGATCCGCGTCATCAACCAAACGACCTGCGAGAAGCTGATGCCACAGCAGATCACGCCGCGCATGATGTGCGTGGGCTACTTGAGCGGGGGCGTGGATGCCTGCCAGGTGTGTGCCGGCTCCTGGGGCGGGGCGCGGCAGGGGCGGGGGCCGGGGAGGTAGGCGGGGCGCTGAAGCCTTGTCTCCCCTCAGGGCGACTCCGGAGGCCCCCTGTCCAGCGTGGAGGTAGACGGGCGGATCTTCCAGGCCGGCGTGGTGAGCTGGGGCGAAGGCTGCGCCCAGAAGGACAAGCCAGGCGTGTACACAAGGATCCCTGTGCTTCGGGACTGGATTAAAGAACAGACGGGGGTGTAGAGGCAGGGGCCATCCACCAGTCACCCCAACGCGCACCCCTGTGGGCTGAGAACAGGATGCTCCCTGTACCCCAGAGCCCAGACTGAGCTGAACCCCCCGGACTCGAGATGGAGGCCTGGCCTGGGGAGCCTCTCACCTCTGTCAGCCTCCGCAGCGGGGTCGGAGGTGGGGGCGGAAGGTGCCTGCGATGCTCGGGAGCAGAGGCTCGAAGACCGTAGCCTGCGCCCTCCAGCTTTAGGCGAGGCTGAGGCTCCTTCTTCAAGATCTGCTTCCTCTGCCCCTCTGCCCCTCCGCCCCAGGAGCCGTGGCGTGGATCCGGGCGGGGCTCGGGGAACGCTGCGGGCTCCTAGGGACACACTCTGCGGGAAACGCAGGTCAGAAGGACCCTGCAAGACTGACAGGTCTAAGACCTGAACTGTTTAACCAGCTCCAGGGGGGCGTTCAGAGTGTGTATTTGTGTGTATGAGTAAAATACTTTATTTCTTTTTAGACATTTTTGACCTTACTGGAGTCGATGGGCTCTCCTTCCGAGCCCCGGCGGCAAGAAACTGGGTTTAGGTTCCCCCCAGCACAGTCCCCGGTGCCAGGCTAAGAGCGGGGCCCACTGTGCCTGTGCCTTCTCCAGGCCAGCAACGGGCTGTGCTTCCGCTCCTACCTGTGGCTTCTGCGCCCGGGGCTCTGCTAGGAGGAGTGGGGAGGGGGCGCCCCAGCTGCGGGGCCTGGGTGCCCTGGGGAGGGGGTGGAGCTTTGTTCCAGGAGGAAAGGAGGAAGCAGGACTTTGCATTCGGTGGGGAGGTGGTTCCGGTTGGCGGGGGGATGCGCTCACCCGTGCTGGCGCCAGGGTCCTGAGGCCTTGGAAGGGTCGTGCTGCCCTGCTTACATGTCCTCACAGCTCTAGTGCCATCCGTAATCCTTTGAGTTTTAGTTACTAGTATGAAATCTTCCCCTTGCTTGCGGTGACCCCGAGGAACAGTATCAGGAATGTAGGGAGGGCTTGGGGAGTCCTCGAAGGGATATTTGAGGCATTATAGGAGCTGGGGCTGGGGGAAGCAGCCAACCTAGTAGGGAAATCAAATGGCTGTGTCCTCAAGAGAGGTGGTCTTCGCTCGTCACTGAATGCCCAGTTCAGGCCTGGCTCCTAGAAGATGCTAGTACATATTTGCTGAATGAATGGTCTTTGCCTTCCATGAGTTTTAAAATCCAAAAGGAGCAACGGTACAGTGCGATTGAGGCAATCTGGTCAGACTGCAAGGAGGTGAGCTGCCTCTTTTATTTTGGTCTGAGTGTTTTACACTCTGGAGGGGGAGAGAAGTTTTGCCTTGGTACCCATGGAAGCATCCACATTGAATTTCCCTTCCAGGAGCGGGAGAGTTATCTGTTCTTACTGAGCTGTGGAAAGTAGGGGCACGGATATGCTGTCAGAAGACTCCTGTGCAGACGGTGCCCTGTCGGGAACAGCTCTCATGTAGGGAGAGGCCTCACGGGGGTCTTGTTCCTAAGTACACACTCCCCTCAGGCAGCCAGGCCTTGGCCCAAGTGGGCGTATTGGCTCACGCCCTGGGGTTCAGGGGGGCCAGCCCGGCCCGTGCCTGCCCACGGCACCCTGTCCTGCCTCCATGGCCTGCCATCGTGCTGAGACACTCCTCCCGTGGTCAGAAACGCAGGCAGGGTCACCAGTAGAGTTCCCCCTGAATGTGCCCATGTCCCCTAATGGCGCAGAGTCCTCTACAAACTCTGCTGCAATTTACTGTGAGTTCTCAGGCTCATTGTTTTCACCTGAGAAGAGGGTTAAACATGCAGTTAGTGTTCAGGGTCGCCCCACCCTCTCCAGGAGTTGCAGTGGTCTGAGGCGGAGGGGCTGGGCCTGCCATCTATGACAGTGTCCCCATGTGGGAACAACAGCACCACCTGGTGGGTCCCGGAGGCACAGACGCTCACACTTCACCCTGGCGGCCTGCGTCCGACTCCGGGCGGCCCAGCCACCTGTGCTTGGGCGATTCTAAGGTGCCTAGAGTGTGAGAACCGCTGTCTGAGCAGGCGTCCACGACTAGCAGAACCAGCCTCGCCCGGTGCCCCGCCAGGTGCCCGGAGCTGTGGTTCGCTGGCGTGCCCTGCGGTCCTGTCAGAGGCCTGGAAGCTTCACACACTGGACGACTGGAAGCACAATGAAGGGTCAGTGCCTTTAAAAAAATGGTGGAGCGAAACCCAGTGTTACTTCTGACTAGAGATAAGAACAGGCTAAGAACTGGTACTAGAGGGAAGTCAAACTCATCGCTCTGAGGCTCGACACTGATAGCTCTAATGACGGACGGCAGGAGCACTGGTAACCTTAGCTGACAATGGAGTGACAGCCAGCCTGTGTCCACCCGTCCCTGCTGCAGACAGCGCTGCAGGCTGGGAGTGGTGGTACACGCCGCTGCATTGGCTGGGCTGGGAGCCAAGGGCCAGAGGCCTGCCTGCCTGGGCCAGCTGCTGGCGGGGAGGGGCTCGTGGCCTGAGCCATTTTGCACACATTTGCATTTTAAATTCAAGCAGTCCAGCTCCAAGCTTGGGACAGAAAAGGAAACTTGATTGGTGCAGTCCAGCGTGGCTGTAGCTAGGGCTGCAGTGCAGGCCATGGGAGGAAGGTGCATTTGGAGACCCATTCAGGTCATCGCACTTGGAGTCAGATCGTTGAGAGCAAGACAGAGTCCCTGGCCTGCTTCCAACAGCCAGTCAGGGCTGTCACTGGGCAGGTGCGTAGGCCCAAGGGCCTGGCGCTTGGCCCAATGCTCTGTGTTGCTTTCTATAAAGTCTTAATAAATTTTTTTATCCTGGTTGGAGGATATGCTTATTGATATTAGAGAGAGGGGAAGGGAGGGAGAGAGGGAGAGAAACATCGATCATTGCCTCTCGTACATGCCCTGACTGGGGATGAAACCCACAACCCAGGCTTGTGCCCTGACCAGGAATTGAACCTGTGACCTTTCCATTTATAGGACGATGCTCCAAACAACTGAGCCACACTAGCCAGGGCCAAATTCCTAATGATTTTTTAACAAAGGGCCCTGCGTTTTCATTTTGTAGGGAGCCCCCCCAAATTATATAGCTATTCCCACAGCCTTATGCACAGGGCATCTCTGGGTTCCCTAATGTGGTCTCGGTGTGATCTGGGTGGGGAGCAGGGTCTGGGGAGGTTCTGACGGGGTGGAGTGAGGCCTGGGATCCGCTGGGAGGTAGAAATGACCTCTTCCAACCCCTTCACTGCCTCCCTGTTGCGTGGGTTATGGGAGGGGAGGGGTCTGCAGGCCCCTTCAGCAAACCTGGTGAAAGGGACCCTGGTATCCTTTGCTCCACCTGCAGGTATGGGACTCCGCGGCAAGTCAGGAGCAGCTGAGGTCTGCAGGGTGAGAGGAGGTGGCAGGGGCGGTGCCGACGGGGTGGCATTGCAGCCCACGTGAGCGCCAACGGGAGTGGCCCCGGCTTCCCAGGGAGGCGCCGCACTCTTGGCTGGGTGCCCTCCACAAGCTCAGTGACCCATCGCGGAGTCCTTCCCGGACTGAACAGCTTTTTTTAGTTGTTAGGATCTCGAAACTATCCATCTCTTTGGTCCCACCCCCAAACTACTTGGCAGTATCTTAATTTTTTCCACCACCAGTCAAAAACGTTTCAAGTTTTGTGCTGTTTAACCCTATTGCGTAGATCTAGGTTCTGCAGGAGTAACGGGGATACCTGGGTAGGTTAGGACTGACTTTATTGACCAGCTAAGGGCCCAGCCTGGAAGTCAGGGGCCCAGAACCGTTAGTGCTGAAGGGAAGGTATTCAACCACTAGGGGGCATCACAGAACTTCCCTTCCAGGCTTCAGGCCGTGTAGTGGCAGGTCGCACTCACCTGCAGGCGAGGGGCTGCCCATTGCCTCGTGGGGGCAGGCCGAGGCTGTGAGGTGAGCTGGGACAGGGACGGACCCCAGGTCCAACTGTTCTTGGAAGGCAGGCTGCTGCTTTCTTCTCACTTCGTAGTGCAGTGAAGATGCTGCCCTACCTCTGGGTGAGCACCCAAGGGCTCCCAGCACGAAGCCTTCCCTGTCGGTCCTTTGGCTCTTCACCCCCCTCCCCACGTCTGCAGTGCGGACCTGCTGGCCCTCAGACCTGGAACACAGGTGGCCTGTGGGCAGAAGGCGGGTTTGATCTCGGAGTAGCTAGCACATGTGAACATCCCATTGAACACTCAGCTATCAGTGCACACAGGCAGGCACGTTCTCATATACGCACATGGACACGGGGGGAGTAGGGTGTGCATTTTAGGAATCCAGCTAGATTATGCCGCAGGAGCTGTTTGTGACACCAGGGCTCCTCCTCCTTCCCCAGGGGACCTGAGGGTGCCTGCAGACTAATTTAGTGGGGGCCTCTGCCTTTTTGGGATGGAACGATGCTTTTCACTTTCAGGCTCGGAGTGTGTGTGTGGGATGCGCACCTGCAGTCACGTTTAAGGGACATTGGAGCTCTAAGCCAGTGGTTCTGAGACACTTAATATCTTGGAACTGGAATTATGAGCAAACAAGGGTCTGACTGACACCTGCGACGTTTCACCAGGGCGCCTTCACTGTGTTCGAGGTGCTTTGCAGATTTTACTTTAAATTCCCAGCACCCCCGCGGGCACGTGCATTCTACAGAGAACCAAGGCACCAAGCCTTGAATAACTGTCCCAGATCCCACGTGTAGGAACTGTCGGACCTAGGACTTGTGCGCTGGGGGTCCGGCTCCACGGCCTGCACTTTCGGGCCCTGTCCCACTGAGTGCGTGCAGTATGCGATTCTTGTGCTGTCATTTCAGGTAGAAGGGAAATGGTAACATGTTGGACAAAGGTAGGCCACGCTGTTAGAACACCTGGGGATGACATTTGGGAACTGCTCCTCCGAACCCGCGTCCTATGTTTTGGGAATTCTGACAAACCTGGCCACCACGTGGTCACGAGGCCTTCCTGCCATTAGACCCGGTTTCCTGGCTGTGGGTTGGCTTTCAGCTGCGGCGCACTTACCTTCCATCTGCTCTGCCAGCCTGGTGGGATATTGCTGCATATGGGGTCCCTGGGTCC